TTATAAACTCAGAAAATATAGTATTATCCATCCTTCAATATCGAATTCAAGTCCCATCTTTTCTATGAATGCAGTGTGCTACAAAAGAAAGATTAATAACATGGGAACTAATGATTAAGTATAACTCTGAGAGATCACATATACTAAGGGCCAAGCAAATTACCTAGCTTTTAGACTACATTAATAAACTAGGAACAGATTATAAATGAAAAGTTGCAGAAACAACTCAAGCATTTGCCGAGTTTAAGACACCTTTCCATTCATAGTCAGTAGCTAGTTTGGGGGGGAGAGGGGTAGTACAAGTATGAATATTTTAATGTCAACTATAAACAATGTACCACCATACCAAATAGCTATCTTACCACATCCTGCTTTAGCAGTAAACACTCAGCACTGCCACCTGGATTAAAAAAAAAAAACCTGATCTGATCACATTCTTCAAAAATATACCGCAGTTTAAAAATTCTTAGTTGTTCTACAACTTGAAGGTCACATATTTCCTAACAGAATCAAAATATTATACAGGCATAAAATATGTGTATTGAAGGAGGGGATATGGAGTAAGACAAAATATTGTATAAATTTGTACAACATTATAAAGCAACTTTGACAAACTTCAGCACTCTGATCTATACAATAACAACCCTCATTTATTTCCAGAGAACAGAAGATGAAGCATGCTCCCCATTGCTTGTCAGGGAGGTGATGGACTCAGAATGAGACATACATTTTTGGACATAGCTAATAAGAGAATCTGCTTTGTCTGACTAGGCATATCTGTTATAGAGTTTTTATTTTTCTTCTTTTTTAATGTTCAATAGAGGGGAAGAAGACAATATAAATACCTGTTAGATGAAAAATAACAAAATTATTTTTTGAGAAAAATGGTGTATGTATCCAAAGCTAAGGGAAGAGAGATGATAATCACCATAGTAAGTATAGAGAAGCCACACAATTTAGAATAAGGGCAAACCTGAGGCATCATCTTAGTTAACTCCCTCATTTAACAGGTGAAGAAAATACAGGAAGTCAGTGCCAACAGGTCACCACCAAAGTAAGTTAATCTTTAATTACAACTCTGTTTTGAAGGTTGCCTTTTATATAAAATGGATAACCCTTGTCTTTCACAGACTTATGTTCCCATAACCCCAGGGCCTATAACAAATAATGTAGACTAAATATGCATTCAACTCTTTATAGCTGAGGGGTGGAAAAATGTCAGAAGGATTGTTGTTTTCTTTTTCACAAAAGGTGAACTTGCAGACAAGCATAAACACCCCTCCCTCAAATATACTCTAAGATTACAATAGCAGATCTTGCTCAATTTTGATTTAATATTTTTGAACTTTCATTTCACTTAGCTTTCACTTTAACTTTCATTATGAACACTTTAATAAAATTATTATCTACAGCACAGTTTGATCTGTAATTTAGGTACAAGTGTGATTGTAGCCAGAAGTCTTGAAAGATAAAAAAAAAATTACTTCCTACTTAACTGAAACATTAGCAGAGTATGATCTAATACATTCATGTGACTATCACAATGCAAAACCAAGTGTCTCATTTAAGAGACACATGGTACTATCACAAAGTAAAACCAACTGTCTCATTCGCCAGAGGCACATGGCACACTGCTTTACCTTTAAAATCCACCTATAAACTTACAAGATAATGGGTATAATTATCAGGCCTGAGGATTCAAAGTCATTAGCATATTCTTAAATTCAAACTCTGAATGTTCATCTGAGTGAACAAGTTTTAAGAAGTTTTGTGGAGGTCAGTTTCTCCTTTCAACGGGTTATAATACCTTTGTTTTTTTCCATCTCCTTTCAAGTCACAGAATCACAGGTCAAAGGGCTCAGAGATCACAGAGTCTGACCCTCTCACTGGACTGAGGAGAAAACTGGGGCCCAGAGAGGTGAAGTAATTGCCCAAAGTTGCCCAACTGATAAGTAACAAACCTGGTCAATTTCTTCTAAGTTGGAGGCTCTTACCACCATGAACCCAATGATACCATGACCTTGCTTCAGAAGTCATCCTGTTTAGTATTTCAGGTTATCTTCTGTACAGTACATTATGCATTTTAGTGCCAGCCACAAGCTACTCCTCTATACAATAATATAAGCTCAATAAAATGGTGGCCCCTAACGGAAATAAACCTCTCCATAGTATTTTTACTACTCTTTCTAAAATAGAATTCAGTCCATGAACAAAAATATCTTAAGCTCCTACTAAGTGCTAAGTACCTTGCCACGTGCTGGGGATACAAAAACAAAAAAAACAGTCCCTGGTCTCAAGGAGCTCACAGTGTAATGGAGGAAATAACATATAATCAACTATGTATAAACAAGATATACAAAAGATAAATCATAAATCGACAGAGTTAAGAGGGATCAGGAAAGAGTTCTTGTTGAAGGAGGGACTGAAAGCTCCTACAAGTACTAACTTTATGGTTGCTAAAAATCAACCAAAACTTTAGTAAGCATTTACTATGAGCCATGTACTATGCCAAAGGACAAACAGAAATAGGGATACCTGTGATTTCATCAATGTAGGGAACTCCCCGGTGGAGCAAATTCTATCTACCAGTGCTAGTCAGCAACTTCTCTGCAATTTTTAATCTTAGAAAGCTGACTAGAGCACTGATATATTAAGTGACTTGCCCAGGATCACACAGCCAGTATGTGTGGGGAGACAAGACCTGAACCCAGGTCTTCCCAGGCAGTTAGTTCCCTATCCACTGTACCAATAGCTGCCCCTTAAGAAAGTGAGCCAATTATCCAAACCGAAAAAGAAAAGGAGAAATAGTCCTTTCCCTTGAGGAATTTACGTTCTACAAGAGTTATAAATGCTCACAGATAAGTATATACTGGCTCAATAATAATAAACTAATATTTGTGAAACATTTAATATATTCCAGACACAAATACCTCAATGTGATCCTCACAACAATTCTGGGAGGTAGATGCTATTATTATCTGCATTTTATATATAAGCAAACTCATCATACACAAAATAAAAACACAGACAGGGGCTGACAACTGGGAAATAAGGAAAGACCTTTTGTAGGAGATGGCACTTGAATTGAGCCCAGAAAGGAGCTAGGCGTCCCAGGAGGCTGTAGGACAGTCTTTACTGGCAAGCAGTTTATAATCCACTAGAGAGGGAGGCAATAGCAACATAGATAAGTATACAATCCAGGATCTAACAAGCATTCACAAAATTTCTATCATGTTCAGGATTGGGAACACAAATGGGCGAGATGATTCAGTTCAGAATGTCTATGGAGATTTAAGCAGGGAGGAACCACTTCTAGATGAGGATCTCAGCTGAAAAGCTTTAAGATCCCAGAAGGAAGGAAAAGATGATATCAATTGATTGAAATGAAGGAAGCCATTCCAGGCAAAAAAAAAAAAAGGCACTGTATTAAGAGAGAGCAGGGGACGATATCTGGAAATGAGTAGCGGTACAATCTGGCTGGAACACAGTGTGTAATGGGTGATATTGGGGAGAGAGAAAGGCTAGAAAAGGTAGGTTGGAGGCAGCTAATATAACCTGAATGCTCACATGACGAAAATTAATAACGCTTAACATAAGTTTAGAGTAAAAGTTCTTCCAGACTGGGTCTCATACATCTTTGTATTCTGCTCAGTCCCTAGCACTGTCTTTATATTTATAGCCAGCCTTCCATCTCCTTTTCAAATAACAGACACACAAAAGCGTACCTGGTTGCACACGAAAGGTGCCCAGTAAGCGTTTGCTGAATAAGCAGAATGGATCTCATGTATTCAAAGTCTCATTTGTGAGTCCAACTACATACAGCCTTTTGGAACTCTTCATACTACTTTGTTTTAATAAGTTTAAAAAAAATCTGTGAGTTTCATTGTTTATTTTACATAGCCCCAAAGGGGAAATAGGATTTAAAAGACCCTGCCAAAAGAATATCCTACCAATATGAGTCATTTAACATCACAACAGAAGCAACAAAAATACATTTGTGGTTCCTGGGGCAAACAGCCCCTAACTGGAATAATCCTCATCTAAGCAAGTGACTGACTAATCGGCCATGATACAAGAAAATAGCTACCAGTTGGGTGAAGGGCAATTTCTGAAAGGCAGAGTTCAGATACACTAATTCCTCTCTTCCTGACCTCCCTCACCCATTTCACACCTAGAGCAGGAAACCCACCAGTTACTTGAGAAAAAAAAAATCCATGGCGCAATGGGCCAGTGAAACAAAAAGCAAGTATTACGAATTTGTGGTGGGGGAAATTGGTCTGTCTTAGGAGGCTCAAAAGGAGAGCCTCTACTTAGTAACCTTGAAAAGAAGTTTTACCTTCCTTCTACACATACACATATACACACACACACACACACACACACACACACACACACCCCTTCTCCTTGCCTCCCCCTTCCTTCTCCCCACTCCTACACACACCCCTCCCTTCTCCTTGTCTACCCTTTCCTTCCTCCCACCCCTCCTACACACACACACACACGCGCGCGCACACCCTTCCCTTCGCCTTGCCTCCCCCTTCCTTCTTCCCACCCCTCCTACACAGTGACACACGCACACAAAGAAACAACTTTCCCAGATGCACCGTGATGCAAATCAGGCGCTACACAGCAGCCGCCTGTCATCCAGATGGGCCACGGCAGCCGGGCGAAAGTGCCCCTCCGCCTTCACACAAAGCAGCCCCACACTTAATGACAGCCACAAGTGGTCAGGGCCCCAGGGCTGCTAGTCCCAGCACTCCGCCTCCTCTCCAGGCCAGGTGGAAGAAATCCTCAGGGTCCCCCCCCCCAAAGGTTACAACTTAAAGGGAAAAAAGGTGAGTGAGCCCGCGCAGGGCCCGCGGCGGGGTGGAGGAGAAGGGGGGGCTACCCGCGCCCCCCCCGGGGAGCCAGAGCGGGGGCCGGCGGAAAGGTGGGGGGAGGAGGAGGAGAGCTCGGGGAGACGACGCCACCCTGGAAGCAGGCCCTCACCCTCTCCCCACCTGCACAGCTCCGGGAACTCGAAGCTCTGGGCCTCGGCGACCTCTCCGGCTGAGAGGAGCAGCAGGAGCAGCAGCAGCAGCGGGGGCGGCGGCGGTAGCGGCCGGGGCGGACGCCGAGTCCAGGGCCGCAGGTGGGCGCTGGGCGCCGGGGCGGCGGCGGCGGCGAGGGCGGCAGCGGCAACGGCGGCGCCTCCCATCGTGCTCAGGTCTCCGGCCGGACTGGGGACTGGACGCGCGGGCGAGGGACTAGCGGCGCGCGGCGGCTCCAGGCTGCTCCTGGGTCATGCTCGCGCCGCCAGGGCCGGAAAGGGAGGGAAGGAGGAGGAGGAGAAGGAGGAGGAGGAGAGCGCGGATCCAAGGCTGCTGCGGAGACCCAGTAATTGCGCGTCACATGACCCGCAGCCGCCCGGGCACCGCCTCCTCCCTCCCGTCCCACCTCCCTCCTTGCCACCAGCCTCACGTGACCGCCTCATTCAGGTGATGCTCGCGCACCCCTCGCTTATGCTGGGCCTCCCTGGTCACTAGGGGCGGAGCATTCGGCAGCGGGGAGAGGTCCTGCGCGGCGTGGGCGGCGAGGCCGTGTGGAGCACCTGGTCACCCGTGGCGTCCACGTCGGGGCCTCTGGGGCCCCGCAGTGAAGGGAGGGCAGAACTGCGTGGCCGCCGCTCTGCTGGGGAATAATGACCCCTGGCCCCAGGCTTCCCAGGATGCCTCACGGACGCCGCAGGAACGGGTTGAAATGGCCAGGCTTCTGAGTGGAAACTAGCCCTTGCTTTTGTTCCTTTCCCCTCCCATCAAGTTTGAATCGTCGTTTGGGGTTTTTTTGGCCTTTCTAGCACCTACCTCACAGCGATATTATGAGGAGGAGATAAGATAACTAGTGGAAACCCTGAAAGGGCAACACAAATGCGCTCTGGTGTGCTTTCTTTGTATGAACAAAGCCTGCCACAGAGCAGTCTCTTATTTAAATGTTTGTTGATTGGCTGGATCTCTTTCACCCGCCCTTTCACCTGTAGCCCCGTTGTGCTGGGGCAGGGATATGCAAATATTCTGATAATCAAAGCTTCTCAAAAGTACCCTGGTCCCCTCATCAAACAGTTACTGCAAGCCAACTTTGAAGAATAACAGATGGATAACAGAGTCAGGAATCCAAAAGATAATATAAGCAACACGTTATGTGCTACCTTTGTGATATTGGGCAAGATAGTTATTATCTCTGTGAACCCTGGCAAGTCCCTTAATCTCTTTAGGCCTTTCCTCATTTATCAAGTGATAGGTTTGAGTTAGATGGCCTTTCAGTGTTCTTCCAGTTTTAAAAATGAGTTTACAAATTTTTAAAAGATACAGTTCAACAGAAATATATGTGAAACCCTACAACTGAGTAAAAAACAAAAAAAAAAGCTTCCTAAGGAAGCATAGGGAAGACAGCCTAGAGTTTTGTTGTGATTTGTTTTTTGTTTTTTATGTAAAAGATGTGGGGATTTTAGCGGTCTGCCCTCAACAGCTTGGCATGTTAGCCAAAAATGTTAATGTGAACTTAGGCTTCAATGACAGAAACAGTGTCCAGAACAAGAATGATGACAGTGGTCTACTCTGTTCAAACAGCGTCTTGGAGTATCGTATTCAAGGAACAATTCAATTTAATAAGCTTGTACTACCTAAAGTCATATTGGGGAAAAGAGGAAGAACAAAGAAGGGATAGAGCCATTTTGGGTTAGGACAGCAATAACACGATAGAGAAGAGGCAGAGCTGCTCCACTGTTATTTTGCTCCAGTTTCTGTGCCAACAAGAATGCTCTTTGAACCAGAAAAGAGAATTTTTAAAAATGGATATTGGGAGTTAATAGCCAAGCTAAGGAGATAGTAGGACAGCACCTAGATATACTTGATGAGTTTGTCACCTGATCCAGATAAACTGCACCCTTGATGCAAAAAGAACTGGCAAATGTTATTCCTGAAACATTGTCAGCAAACTTGGAAAGATCTTAGAAGATGGGAGAGATACCAAGGATTAAAGAAAACCAGAAAAGATGCAACAATTGTTGCTTCAGCCTCCCACTTTGCAATGAAGCGAGGGGTGGGGCATGCATTTAGGTATCAAAGGCAAATGGAAGTGTGAATTAGAAAAGGCTTTGGGATGTGGTAAAGGACACCTGTTAGATCATGTTTTATTGCTTGGTAGAACTTTTAAAAAGAACAGATTTGTGACTTTTAGTGCTAGAGGCGTTTTTCTCTTGCTAACTGGGGTGGGGTGTGAGGAGGCAACAGCAGCACTGAGAGAAGTCTCAGGCATTTGACCATATGAGAGGACTGAATCAGCAAATTTTCCTGGGAGCCAGTTCATGGAATTACCAAGCAAATGAGAAGCCTATGTGCTTCCACCTATATTAGTTAAATATGACTTAATCCAAAGTTCAGTTAAGATGTTTGGGGGAGAGGGAAGGAAAGCAAGTCTGAATCTGACTCAAGGGCAGTGTGGTGCTTCAGCTTCGGAAGTGGAATGAGAGGAGACACTTGTAGACCATTCAGAAGCTGACAAAAAGGAACTTTATTTAGCCTGCAGCATGGAAAGAATACTCAGCAAGGATATAGTATTGATTCAGTTGAACACAGCTTCCCTGTTTCCATGTTGGCTATGCTAGAGTGCTGTCTCTGAGTAGTAACTCTTGCAGGCTGGCTTTTGTACTCGAGCAACAGGGAAACTATGTCAGTGGCCCAAGCCTTAGTGCCATGAGCCAGTTAAGTCTTGAAGATATTTTCAATTCCTCATAAGGAAAATTTAACCTAAAGTACAAGGCAGATATTTTTCTTACCACAGGGACTATGTTGAGTAGGAAAGAAATATTCAAATTCAGTAGGTAAGGGCAGTGAGCCAAGTGAATTATGAACTATTATAGGGATATCTCTGTAGTCTCCTCTCTGTGTTATTCCTCAACTCATAATCTCAGATTGAGTAGCCTGGGCAACAAATTACCCAAGCTTCAAGGTACTCTGTGGCTTCAGACTCTTGAAACTATAGCTCATAGGTTGCACTGATAGGTCTACCTTTCTACTAGCTAGCCAGAGGACACAATGAGCTCAAAACAAAGGTATTTATTAAAATGGCATATTATAAAAAGTAGCAGTAAAAGCATGTTTCCATAAACCCGGGGCTCACTCTCAAATAAAATATATCTAGCATCAGTAAGAAAAGTAAAATATATCTAGCATTACTGAGAAAGGTGACAAGTAAAGAGGCACATATATAGGGAACACATGTGACTAAGGTATATTTCAAGGTATATTCAAGGAGGGCTAACTAGTCCTCTGATACTGCAAGGCTGAAGGGCCACAAATGTTTTTATACTTTTCTGACGGACCTTGATCTCAAAGTTTCCATTGGGTGCTATTCTGCTAGTCACTGCTAGACACTGCTCCCCTGGATGCTGCTTTGGTTTTTGGCTGTGGTCTTAACTACTTCAAGCTTCTGGCTTGGCTGAAATACTTTGTACTTTTCTGTTTCAAGCAGGACACTGCACAGGAACCATGTCAACTGTCTTCTTCCTTCTCTAAGGAACAGGACACATTAAGAATTTTCTCCCTAGAACAGGAGTTCTTCACCTAGGATCTGGGAACTTTTTTTAAAAAAAATATTGTAACTATTTCAATATAATGGATAAAACATTGGGCCTGGAATCAGGAAGACCTGAGTTGAAATGTGGCCTCAGACACTTGGTAGCTGTGTTTGCTTCAGTTTCCTCAAGTGTAAAATGGGGATAATAATAGCATCTACATCCCAGCGTTGTTGTGGGGATCAAATGAGATAATTTTTCTAAAACACTTAGCACAGTGCCTGGCACATAGTAGGAGCTATATCAATGCTAGCTATAGTTATTATTATTGTTACATAATTGGTTTCCTTTGTAAGCCTATATATTTTGTTTTATGCATTTAAAAATATTATTCTGATAACAGGGCCATAGGCTTTACCTGACTGATAAAAGGGTCATGTCGTGACACAAAAATGTTAAGAACTCCTGCTCTAGAAGATCTAATACTTGGAACTCAAAGAACTCTTGAACTTGGAGTTACCTATGAGGCAATTGTCAAATCTGGCACTTCCCTGGAAATCTCCCCTTTTTACCACTATCTAAAGAATTCAGAATCCTCCCTCCTCTGCATGGAAGATTGTAGTTCAGGAAGTGATGTCCTCAAACTCTGCTCTCTAGCTTTGTGTAAGCACACGTCTCCTGCAACCATGTGTTTTTACTGTAAGATTCAATTGACAATGTAATAGGAGAAGGAAAAGAGAAATCCCCTCTTCTTTTCCCCACCCCACCCCCCAGGTTGCTAAATTTTCCAAGAGACACAAGGGGAAAAATGAGAGACAAACTCTTTGGACCTGACTCTTGCTTTTTAAAAACTTTAAAAGATAAAGTACATCCTTCAGCCAGCCAACTGGTAGACATTCCCTTGTCATGTCAATTGTCTTCATCCAGTGGTGAATGCTTTATAATTGCTCAGGCTCACTGAGGAACTAATTCAATTTGGTCAGTGTTTTGCAATGGCCCATATGTGAGTATAGAGTTGTTTAGGGTTACTTAAGAGAATTCCTAAACACCTCCTTTATAGCCTTGCCCCTGTATAGACCCTCAGAAGCATAAAGGAATGTATAAAGATTTGGAAGATTTGGAAAACTAGTGCTATCTGGTATGTGTAGAGTGAATGAGCTCATAGCTCAAGGATGGAGACATCCTTTTGTTGCACAAGCCCAACTGAGTGAGCTGACACAGCTCAAATTTGGAGTATCACCTGATAGCTTACCCAGATATAGCACCCTGAGAGGCTACTACAGGGATGCTCCCTAGTGCTAGGTGAGCCACTGTCCTATGAGGCAGTGTTTAGCAATCACCACAAGAGGAAGCATGAAAGGTGCCCTAAAATTAACTTAAGACAAATATTGTTGAGGAAAAAGGAGACCCTGAGGAGATACCTTAGAAGTCAGGACATCATGCCCTATCAAGCCAGAGATCCAGGGAAACAGTAAAGCAACTGTTGGGGAGGCTGCTGCTGAAGGAGAGAGAAGGGTATGGCCTGGTTGGGAAAGGACCCAAATGTAGTTTGGGAAGACCCCAGCACCCACCCTCTGCCGGTATGCTTTCACCTTCATTGCAATAAATGGCTTTTACACAACTTCTTGACTCACATATGTTAGATTCCTTGGCTAGCAATTGCAGACGGATATTGTAGGTTAGTTGGCAATTGCTGAAATTCTCAATAGTCCCATCCTTGGGTCCCTGGGAACTAACAGCACAAGATCGAAGAGCATAGAAAAGAATACCTAGGCAGCTCTTTGAAAAAGATTTGGAGGTTTCAGTGGACTCAACACAAATCAGCAATGTGATGTGGCAGCCAAAAAAAGCTAATGCTAATGAGATCTTAGGATGCATTAAGAGAAGCAAAGCTTCCAGGAATAAGGAGGTGATAGTCTCTCTGGACCCTGCCTTGGTCAAACCACATCTGGAGTAGTACAGTTCTGGGCACTATGTTTAATAAGGACATCAGTAAGCCTGAGAGCATCCAGAGGAGGGCAACAAGGACAGGTGAAAGGTCTTGAGTTTGTCACATGAGGATAAATGAAAAGAACTCGAAAAGTTTTGCTCAGGGAAAAGAAGACTTAGGGGAGACATCTAGCTGTCTTCAAGTGTTTGATGAGCTATTATATAAAAGAGGTTCAAATTGCTTTGTTTGGTCCCACAGGACAGACCAAGAACAAAGGATGAAAACTACAAAAAGGCAAATTTTGGTTTGATGTTAGGAAAAACCCTCTAACAATTAGAAATGTCCAAAAGTGAATGGGCTCTCTCTAGAGGTGGTGGGTTGCCCCAGATGTTTAAGCAGAGGCTGGCCATTTGTCAGATGAGTTATAGAAAGGAGTCCTTTCCTGCTGTGGCATAAATTAGATAACCTCTAAGGTCCCTTCCAACTCTAAAATCTAGACTTCCATGCTTTTTCGATTCTGTTATTTGCAGATAGATGTGGTTTTGCAGCAGCACCCTTCAAATCATACCTCATAGATTTCCAACTGCTCTATTCATGCCTTTGAAGTAGTCAAAAGAAGAGCCTGCCAATGAGAACAAAAATCAAGAGATAATCCACACAAATGTTTAATCTATGTTGAAATAAACAAGTTGGACTCACATGTACAAAAATATTTATGGCAGCTCTTTTTGTGGTAGCAAAGAATTGGAAATTGAGAGGATACCCATCAATTGGAGAACGGCTGAACAAGTTGTGATATATGAATGTAATGGAATACTATTGTACTATAAGAAATGATGAACAGGTTGACTTCAGAAAAAACTGGAAAGACTTGTGCAGACTGATGCTGAGTGAACTGAGCAGAACCAAGAGAACATTGTACACAGTAACAGCCATGTTGTACGATGACTAATATTGATAGACAGCCCTTCTCAGCAATACAAGGATCTAAGACATCACCAAAGGCCTCATGATAGAAAATGCTATCCACATCAAAAGAAAGAACCATGGAGTTTGAATGCAGATAGAAGCATGCTATTTGCAATTTTTTTTCTTCTATTGTGTTTTGTTTCCTCTTTCTGGTGGTTCCTCCTATTGGTTCTAATTCTTACTTACAACATCACTAATGTGAAAATATGTTTAATGGGAATATATATATATAGTCTATATCAGATTGCACACCATCTTGGGGAAGGAGGTGGAGAGGGAAGGGGAGAAAAATTAAAAACTCAAAAGCTTATGGAAGTGATTGTTGATAATTCAAAATTAATTAATTAAAAAAAGAAATAAACAAGTTGGTTCTGTTGACCTGCATTATGTAGAGGTGGTGATTATATTATTTGTAACATGCTTTGAAAATATGAAGACTGGTTATGAGTTTTACTAAACTCCTTTTTCTCTCTTTTCAGTATTCTTTGTTACAAGGGGTGGCTCTGGGAAGGGTAGATAAGTTGGAAAAAGAAAGTGACAAAAAATGCCAAAAAATATTTTTCAACAAAATATTTTTAAAATAAAATATGAAGAAAATAATTGTAAAGGATTAGCAACACTTGAGAAATATTAATGACAATCAAAGATATGGCTATAGACTTCACCTAAGAGGAATGTAAAAAGCTGGACCTTACTCAGAAGGACATATATAGGGTTATTATGATAAAGGACTTTGAAAAACATCTCTCCTTAGTGCTTCCAGTTTTGAAACCAGGTATGATCTCTGGTTGGAGAGAGGACAAGCACCACTGAAGTCAGAGAGAGAATTCCCAAGAGGTTATCCTGATAAGCATACTCCATAAAACTAGCCCAATCCAAACCAACTACATTCATTGCTTGCTGCTCTCCTGTAATCTTCAAGCAATGTCTTCTAGCCTCCAACAACACTCTACTAGCTGCTGCCCTGGGGCTTTTACTTTCTACTAATTTATGAGAGTTCTCTATAATTAGCCCCACCCAGACCCACAACTTCTGCCAGCTATTCTCCAACCATCTTCATGTTGAATATTCTTGCACATACTTCCTTCCCTCCTTTCCCCTCCTAGCTCAGGGAACAGATATTAAATTAACATTACCATTCCTAGAGAGGACATGTTAATCAGTTTCCTTATAGATTAACTCACCATCCCTATGACTTCCCAGTCCAAAACACTTCTTTTCCATTCCTCCTCTGTATATATTGGCCTCTCCTATAGAATAGAAACTCCTTGAGAGCAGAGACTGTCTTGATTTTTTAAAAATATTATTCTCATCACTTAGTACAGCACCTGGCACATGAGCAAGTCTCTCCTTATGAAAATAAGTCTGAGAAAATATAGGCCCACTTAGCAGCTAAGAAAATGGAGACCTGAAGTAGGGAATGTATAAAGTAGGGAAAGTATAAAGAAGCTTTAGAAGCATCCAGCCCCCCATTCCCCAACTGTAGAATTATTCCTTCTTTGACCTGACATGCTTGGAAAGCCCAATGGGGCTCTGTAGCTTGAGGATAGGAATTGAGATTCTTTGTCATCAACACCTTTATCAAGCTCTTAAAATGCATGGAGCTCTGTGCTAGGCACTATGGGAATACAAAGATTTTAAGTTGATCATCTATTTTACCCTCATAATTTTATAAGTGAGGAAACTGAGGCCTAGAGAGATTGTGACTTTTTCAAGGTCATACAAGTGGTAAACATCATTGCCAGGATTTGAAACAGATCCTATGACCCCAAATCCAATTTTCAATAAACTTACCATCTAGTTGTTATTGGACCCACTTTGAAGGCTCTCTCTCTCAGTCTTTATGCAATATTCAGCATACCATGAGGATCTTTACTGAATCCTCATCACCTTGATACAAGAGTTCAGGATGATTGGTGGTCATCTTCTTCTTCTTCTTCTTCTTTTTCTTTCTTTCTTTCTTTCTTTCTTTCTTTCTTTCTTTCTTTCTTTCTTTCTTTCTTTCTTTCTTTCTTTCTTTCTTTCTTTCTTTCTTTCTTTCTTCTTCCTTCTTCCTTCTTCCTTCTTCTTTCTTTGTTTGGAAGAGGACCAGAGGGTAATGTCTTGACTCACTAGTGAATTGGATTTAAGTGAGGCAGAGTTGCACAAAGTCATCAGCCTCACTCTTTCTTCCAGAGTCATTAAAGCA